TCTGAATTCAGACTTGAACTTTGTTTAGACGTTTCACTTCTCGTCTTCAACATAACGGCCGCGTGAGTGGAACTACGAGAGTAGCCCGAGCTAGATTCGACGTCCGAAACAAATATAGTGTTTATAAAAAAAACAAATTAAAAAAAAAGTTTAAAATCACTGAACCAGTTGTGAATAACAAATATGACTGTGCAAAATGTCGACTATGTTGCTAGATCGTGTACTATATTCCTCGATATTTTTAGCGCCCTTCTTTAGACGGGTGTCGTAATGGTCACAGCCGGCTGGAGTTTGCGCTTGGCGCTCTTGAAGCTGTTCCAGCTGCTGAAGGAAACTCAACTCGCAGCACGCGGCTATAAAGTATTCCGAGCAAAAGTGAAAATGTTTCACGTGACACTAGTTTTCTCGGCACACAGCTCGCGCAAAAGCACCTTGACGCGGCTGGCCTCCATTGCTGCCGGGGGAACGCTTTTTTTTTTCTCCCACAAAAACAAGGGTAAAACAAAAAAAGAAGCTTTTTCCCGGCACTGTTTCTACAATCTACCGCGGAGCACATATTGCTACCCATTGCAACGGAACTTTCAACCTCGAAGCTGCGGAAAAATTATCTCGATCACTGGCCTCCGGAAAGCCACTTCGCGGGCCGCGGCTGCCCGAGTCGCTCGTCTGCCAGCAGATTCGTGACGTACGCGGGTAGGGAAAAGTAGAGATTTTTCATTGTTGAGATTAGAGAGCCGCCTCCTAAAACCCTCGCGGCCGGCGTAATTTGAAAATTCAATAACTTCACGGAAAATGTATTTTCTTAAAATATTTTGGTTATCATTTGAGAAAGGGTTATTGACGCGGTCTGCAAATTTCCAGCCAAATCGAAGTCTACCAAAAAATTGGCGGAGTTCCCCTTTAAGTGCCGACGTTCACTTTGCGCTTTCCACTTTTCCCTCCTTCTCCTTTCCTATATCCTCTACTTTTTTTTACCTTGCCCCAACTTGTCTCCCCTCGCAGCTTACGAGAGGGGTGCCCGCTGAGGGTATTATATTCCCTGCAGAAAACCAGGGTTGTATGTTGGGTTATAAGGCATCTTAGTTATCACACTTTGTTGAGCCCCTTGTGAGCACGGTTTATATGGTAGCTTTTTAACCTTCCCAGTTTTTACAAACTGTGAGAGCCTGGTGCGTCATAAATATATATATATATATATATATATATATATATATATATATATATATATATATATATATATATATATATATATATATATATATATATATAGAAACTTTTAGTTCGACGGGCAGATGAAAACACCCGAAACACACTGGCGCTCGGAATACAACTCACATAACTCCTTTTGGTTAAATGGTGCGTACTATATTTTTTACTGATTTTGCATTCGATTCTTATTTTGAACCACACGTTTCATGAAAACTGGCAGGTGAACAAAAGAAGAAATAACGGATTGGTTCATCTTATATTGAACGCCATAATACATATGCCATTTCACTGAACACGAAATTTCCAGTATTCGTAATCTTGGCAAACGCGTCGCTTGCATGCCGATGTGGACAGATTGTATTCGACGAACTGATTCTCGCAGACTCGGTTGTGATTTCGTAAGCGTTTTAAAAGATATTGCGGAATGAATTCACTACTGTGTGTTTGCACGGCAGGTGACTGTCAGGGTTATATTTTTATATAGTTATGTAAACAATATATGTGACAGGCTTGGAAGGACAATTAACGTATATATGATTTGGCCGGTGTTAATTTTATTCTGGAGATAGAGCATTTCGAAGATGCGCGGAGATTGGCATGGTTTCATTATCGTAATTTGCACGGCCGTAAAATTCACATCAAACATTTGTATATTGACATGCGCGCAACGGGTCAATGTACTAAAACTACTCCGTCTTTTCTTTTTTTTTTTTTAAATCTCTTTAATCATCTGCAGTGACGTGTACTAACATACGATGGTAAAACACTGAGTAATATATGACCTTCAAAATACTAAAACATTAACAATCCTTCACTCAGATCGGGCTAGATTTTCTTCATTACAGGGGTTTATCGCACGACGTCGACTCCAAAGAAATATTTCCTATTCTTCGTTTCATCTTGTATTGATCCGCAGCGGAAAGCAAGGGGCTGTAATTTGGCGCCGGCAGGGAATTCTTACGCATCGCATTGTAGTGCATAAAATACTTTGAGTACAAGGCGGGTAGCCTTTGTCCTGAACGTAATGTTCGTGGTTTGTACCAGCGATACATAAATAATGTTGCAACAAATCTCTCAAGCGTGATATTTAATATGTGTGTACAGATATATGTAGCATATTTGGAGAAACTGGATAGCAATGTTGTCGTTGCCGTCAGATTCGTTTATTCGACATTCATGGCACCGTGGCGGATGCGACGTACTGCAAAGGAAGATTTCTTCAAAATGAAAGTTTTCCATTAAAAGTGTTTTATGTAAAAACTGAACCCGAGGTAGATATTTATTAAAACAATATTTTGGACTTTAAAATGATTTTGCACTATGATTTGAAATGTCACCTAACAAATGTAAATGCGCCAACTGCGCTCACATTTTCGTTCGCCGTACTGGCTGCGGAACGGCAGACCGGTGTCCGCCGGTGCCTCCAGCTCGCGTCCAGATTTTTCTTTTTTTTTTTTTCTTGGGGGGGGGGGGGGGGGGGGGCAGGGATTTGCATATGACTGGTCTTGCGGCAATTTTCCGCAAAAGAAGAGCGGCAAATTGTTCTAAACGTGTACTACATACTTCGTTCTGAGCCTCCGAGCGAGTCGTAGAGAACGAAATTCGAAGAACGTCTGAGCTGTGGTGAATGCGGAAGAAACGTGCCAGTGGCAGCATGTCTGGTGTGACACCAGACATGCTGCCACTGGCATTTATTCGTCAGTGCCGTGTGCCTTTATTGGCGCTGCCAAAAATGAAAAAAATAGCTTCGTTCCGCCGCGCGTGCTTCGTCAGTCACTTCTCGTCAGCTCTTTGTAGTCTAGCGTTAGCTGAGTTAGTAGTCGACATCGGGCATTTTAAATTCGACACAGGTGCTTGGGCCTTCATGTTCATGCAGGCGAGACATTTCGCAAGGGCGTTAGGTTGGAGTCGACGTTTCATTGTCCAGGCCTACCTGGTCTGTTGCGTTACGGAAGAGTATAATTTTCCGTGTTGCACAAGAAGTGAAGCGAAGCGTATCTGTGGACCTTCCTTCCGCTCGACGTGCAAGGGCTCTTTGACAGCAGAAACTGCACAGCTGCGGGTCATCGTCGATACGTCAAGAGGTTTCAGCCACAATCATCAAAGATACTTGAACTTGTGCAGTAAATAGAACAAACTACGCAAAGTCGGAATTTCCTTAAACACCAGCACAAAAAAACAAAAAAACAAAAAAACTTATATTTAAACCACGTCGACATCGGACTTGCAACCAGCGCCATTTTAACTCGCTCACTTATACACCTTTCCAAAAAACGCTTCTAGGCCGCCGCCATGTTGCTGATGCTGATGCGGCTGGTGCGACTCTCGCGCCCTCTATCAGCTAGAAATTTTCTGCCACCCTCTGGGACTGTGAAGACCCGCTCAGCGCGGTTCTCCACCTACGTTTTTGCGGTTTTGCATTCGATGTTTTCTCGCCGCTCTTGAATGTTTCCACTTAATATTTTTTTTTTATGCGTGCTGCGTACCCTTTCTGTGTTATCTTCCATTGTGAGGAATAAGGCTGGTAAGTGCCGGCCATTCAAGCTTTTCTGCTCGACATTCACGAGAAACGAAGAAGGTGAAGGACCTCGAACGACCCTCGACGTGATTTTGCGAACATTGTTCTCCCCCCTCCTCGAGATAATCCGGGTAGAATCCTCAGTCATCTCCAAAAATAGTTGTCCGGGTCGGGGTGAGAAACGGGTCAGTCGCGTTTCTTTCTTTACCTTGGTGCGGCTGTGAAAAAAGGAAGCTCTCCCCGAAACGTGCCCCAAAACGAAGTCATCTCGGATTCCGCCCGATCGTCAAGATGTGACTGTCGTCGACTGTGACAGTGTTATTTGAGATCTTTCTCAAATAAATTTTTTTCGGATAACGCTGCACCGTGTGGTACGTACAATATAGTGTTCGAATGTTAACACTTCCTCAGCTGTATGTCCGTGTCCTGTCCATCGGTAAACACGTTATTTGTGAGCGTGAAAAATGCACGCCTTTCGGCCCTCGTTTGTTGCAATTTATTTGTGTCAGTAAAGCGCTTTGTCGTTTCACATACGGCGAATGCCGCGGCGCCGTCAAAACTTATCGTAAGAAAAATACAAAGAACTAGAACTGCTAGAACTATGCATTCCAGTCGCATTCGTTCTGTCGCGCACGTACCCAACAAAAATAGTTTACGGTCTTTTTTTTTTTTTGCTTTTTTTTTGTTTTTTTAAATGTTGCACAATGCTTGCTTCATATCCTCGGGAAAATACATGTTCCATGAAACACAAAATATAGCGGGAAAAGACGAGAATTTAGCCGCCAGCAGCGTTTGAAACTGCACCTACCCAGGCTGCGCCTATTGAAATCACAGTCCACTCGGTTAAGGTTAGGAGGGACGCCGGTGAGAGTCTAGCCTCAAACTCAGTGACTGGGCTCGAAAACGGTTTCTTGCCCTTGGTGTCGAGTGTTTTTTGGAAAGGTGTATACACACCCGAGGAGCCAGGTGACGTCACTTCTAGGCTAGCGCTTGATTGGCTGTGAAGGCCCCTAGCCTCCCGCTGCGGTTCAACACAAAATGAAATGAAGTATAGAAACGACATAGGATGTGCAGCGATGCTGCTCTATCATAGGGTGTAAAGTCGTGATGCCTCTAGCTTAGCTTTATACTCGTGGTTCATTGCGCTAGACTGAGGTTATAGCACTCGAAACAATCTTTGGAGAAACGGCCTCGTCTGCGTCCCGTTACTTAAGAACCGAGAGGTGAGAACGATAAAAACAAAAGTTAACTTTGTGCTTAATAGCTCACTGACCCACAACTTTCGTGGATTTCACTTCGTTGATCTTGAGCTCGGACGACAGGAGAACCGGAATCCAGCCGTTCGGGAAAACTGGCGGCATGTCGCCATGAATGTACCTTGACCGCGGCGGCCTCTTCTGAAATAGCAAAAGCATTAAAATAAGGGTGCTATGGCATTTTTCCTTTTTTTTTAATACAGACACGAAATAATTTTTATTAGAGTATCGGTACTGAGTCTCAAATTTTTGTTTGGACGCGGATTTATTTGTGCTTAGCGCAGAGCGCGCCGACTTGGCGATTGTTATGATTTGCAAATGCGCGACTTCCTGAGATTTAGACACGGCGTCTGAAAGCTCAGGCGGTATCGGTTTGGCACTGTCGCAGCCAATTTAAATATTTCTGGAGGACGGAACACCGTTTCCTGCGATGTCATATAAGGTTTTCGATAAGTGTCAACAATTGCGTTAAGCGTCCAGACGGCTCTAGTGCTGTTATGTGCCCAAACGCATAACTTGAAGATTGGCTGTAGATTATGCATACATAGTAAATTTAAAAAAAAGTACTATATATGTGTAACCGGCTCTTCTGGCAATGTCTGTATCTCACCCCTTTTTATAGGCGTTGTTGCAGCCAAACACCTTTTCGGCAAACAATGTTTGAAGTTTTCACAAACACTGCTTGCCAAAAAAGCCGTAATGCTGCAACAACGCCTATCAAGAGGGTTTGCCCGCCTTGCAATCGTGAATGGGAGCATTCACTGGCGGCCATAGCTTTGTGCGCGACCGCTGAGCGCGTGCTCACGGCGAGCTTCCAGAGCTATTTTGAAACGTGCACTCCGCACCATCCAGATTGGCAGTCTTAGCAACCTATTAATGTAAGCTCGTTCTTAGCATGCGCTCCAAACATCGCCCTCAAATATGGCGTCCAGAGAATTGCTATATTAACCATGAAACGGGGTACACACATCGGCGAGCGTGAAATGCCGGGCAGAAACAGCTTGCGGCGTGTATCGTCTGCTAGTCACTTTAACATTGCGATTTAGTAAGCTTCTGAGAGCAATCGAAAACAATTCAAGTTGTCCGTGAATGCGTGCAAGACGTGCACTACATTTGCAATCAAGGTGCAAGCCAATATTGCCAGTCTTCCGGATACAAAGCGGGCGCATAAGCCACATTCCGCCGGTACAGAGCAGACGCATCTGCGACATCTGGCCGATAGCTGGTCGACAGACCGATCTAAGGCCCTAATCTGGACACTTGGCGAGAAAGTCGGCGAGAAATTTGGCGGCCGCGATTGGCCGATGTCACACTTGACCTTGGCGCCTGCCAGTTACAGCCGCCGTATTTGTCGCCGACTGTTTCGCCAAGTGTCCAGGTTATGGCCCCTCGGCAGTACTGGCACGATATACCACCGATACTAGTCGGGTGGTGAAACGGCGGTACGCCAATACCCGCACGACATTGGGGACGCGGTGCAAGGCCGCAAACTCCGGCCGGTATTGGTGCCGAATTTCGGCCGACAATGGCACGACACTGGCCAGTATCGCCATGCTGCTTGGATATTGATCAATTATTAAGGTGCTCGTGTATACTTTTCCTATTGCTGTTCTGTTGAAATTCCCATGTTCCTAATAAATACACGGCGAAAATTGTTTGATTATGAGAATGACTCAAGCTGTTGCAGACGTCATTCTGTTCTGCAGCAGGCATCTCCAGATGTTTCCAGGACCGGAAGTTGCCGTCGCAAATACTTTAAAGACAACCTGTTCTCAGTAAGCCTTTGTCATGGTAACTGTGAGATCCAGGCTGCCCATATCTATTCATTTTAGATGTTTAAATTCGACGTTCGATTTTTGAACAATGATTTATTGGAGCTAATTCCAATGTTGTGCATTTGTCCATAACAACGTTCCTAACAAACGGCTTGTTAGGACCAATGACGTCACACTTGTGGCGTCATTTTCAGAAAAGTGTTTTTGCCGGGTCTCATCTTCAGAGTTCGGGCGTATGGCGTGTGTATTGCTCGTTTCCCGAAGCCACGAACACGCACGTGCTGGACTGCGGAGATGGCATGCTGTGCTGTGGATTTGTAAACATTGGAAAGGTGTAAAATCGATGACAGGTAAAAAAGCAAAGCCTCCTAGAAACAAAACTCTAGCGGTCACCTGTGTAGACGTCGTCGCCCGTCGGCATACGTTGTAGTTGCAGTTCAGCGGATAGGGTCGGCCTGTCTCGGTGCTACTCAGCGTGTTTCGGTGTGTCCCGAGAGCGCGTGCTCCAGCAATAGATCAGGGCCAAATGAGAGAAAAAACGAACGAACGGCAAAAATAACTGAAGCACTGGCAGCGTTCTTCCAACGACTGAAAAAATAGCTTCAACGAAATCCCTTTGCATTGTCTATTGTAAGAATAGAAAAACGACAGGAAACACTTTAATGCCACGAACACACACCATAATCTTGCTTTCCGCCACCCTTGATAAGCAGTTCCGGGAGTCGCGTATTGTTACAAGCTGTGTGTTCGGCACCATAGATCTTGTTTAACGCCTCAGCGGTCGGTTGGTCAGTGTCCATGTAAAGTGTTTCGTTGACGTGCCCACTTCTCTTTTGCGGGGTACGATGCCTATATGCAAGCGACGTTGAGTGTTTGTGACAGCTTCAGTTGTGATTGTGTTGCTACCAGCGATCTCAGACTACACGTATGAAGTTCTCTATTTCATCGTGAGTACATTGTGTCTGCCCGAAGCTTGTGGAAACGGTCGTTTGCCCTATCCTTGCCGGTTTCTAGAAGTACAATCGCCGTGACGCATAAACAGCTAAAGCTATAGTTGTTTGCCTTCCGATTTGCACTCTACAGAGTTCTTTCACGTTCAGACTTGTTTGCGACATAGGCCGTACGTTCGGATTTGTTTGCGACATATGATAATAAACATGGATAATTTAAAACAGATTTCGGACGCACGTTATTTCTTCCTTTTTTTCATTTGAGAAGGTTAATTTAACGAATAATGTATCTGCGTGTGAACTAAAATTGTTCGTGGCGTTTTAGGTTGTAATAAGGCTTATCGCGAGAAAAATGTCGCGCTTGTGTATGACCCTAAATGCAGTGCCGAGTTGTCGTTCGATCGTGTTTCCGGTGTGGAAGCGCCTAATATACTGGCATCGCGTACTCGGGTGTTTCCCATCGAATTCTGCTTTAATTCTATTTCGAAGTTTCATTATCGATTTACAAAGCGGTTTCACGTTTTCACTTGTATGCGGCAAGGCATTGGGTGATGTAATAATAAACACAGAGATAATTTTTGCGCCGTAACTGATTTCGAACCAGGTGGACTTTTTGACGACGAGTAACAAACTCCAAACTCCAACTGGTCACGGACCTCACACTAAACCTGCTGGTCGACCAGGATATATCTGACTTCGAAGTTTGTGAACAAGAACACACGAATGAGTTCGTGGTGAAGCATGGTTGGGTCCTGTAGAAAAAAAAAAAAAAGCATTCTGCCAACCAGGAAGTTTTGTTAAGTCAATTTCTCTTCATGCAAACAATCAGCAGGTTTAGATAGAATACCAAGTGAACTTTTAAAGCGATATGCAAAGATGCTCTCTTATTATCGTAAATTGCTTCTGACAAGGCACTACAGATAGGATGGTTTTCAAGAGTGGTTATATTCCCGTGTTTTCCCCTTTTCGAAAAAGAAAACCGGTTGAAAATAGGAAACTACCGTCCTATATGTTTAACAATCATACGCTTTGAAGTTAAAAAGCGAATTATTTTGAAATATATATTTATTTTCTGGAGGAGCGCGGGGGATGTCATACCCATATCAGAACGGTTTTAGGAGCGGTCTGTCAACGGTAAAAACATTGCAGTAATGTTTGGAGGTGGGCTAGTCGGCGGTGCGTAGTAAATATATAATTCGTTTGCGCTGTTTTATTTATATATTTACTACGCAACATAACTTGTAGAAACGTCTTACGATTTTTCTACACTGTAAACAACAAACAGCCTATTTATGTTATCTGCATCGATTTTTCGAAGGCGTTTGACCGCAAACCACACAAACATATTTGTATCTAAAATAAAATATATAGGCATATGTCGTAACGTCGTGATGTGGAAAGGGGCTTATCTGTCAAATCGAAGTGAAAGTGGAAATTAATGGAAGCATATCTACTCTACCCGTATCAGCCCTGCAGGTTTCTCTCAGGGTTTGGTTTGGAGGCCATCGATGGTTTAAAAAACAAACACCAGTGGTCATTGCTTCACATATCCAGAGACCAACAAAACTAAAGTTATTTTCGGGTGACCGCCTCTTTCATTCTCCAATAGACAAAAGAGTTGTATTAACAATAATTTAGAATTTTTAAGGCATTGGAGCTAGAAGCGGTAAATGCTGACACATTCCTTGTAAATCGCCTTACTTTAATATATATATATATATATATTTATATATAAATTGTCTTTCCTTTTCAGTGTAATATCGGGAATGTTCATATAAGTAATTCGGAGTTTCAAATACCTCGGTGTCATAATTGCCAAAATTTAGAATGGCGGACCTATTTATAAAGCTTGCCCCTATGTCTAGCAGAGACTATGATTCCTAGGACGAAAGTTAAAAACTGCGAATAGTGGTGCCAAGCTGACAGCTTAGGAAACAATGATACGCCCCATTTTTGAGTACGCCAGTGTGGGCTGGAGCCTACCAAAACGAAATGTGTGAAATATATTTTAGTAAGTGTTTATAGTTTGTACGCCCCATGAATAAACGAAGAGTGTCTCTGAATAAATGCTCAATCAGTATGGTCTTCAGTTGCTAGAGACTGGAAGAAAAGTTTACCGGTCAAAACTATTTTACTCTATTTATAATAGGCAGTTAAAACTTGACCCTGAAATATTAATAAATAGAGGCTGGATCTTTAGGCAAATGCCTGTTTTGTTCCTTTGGTCCCTTATCGTGCCTTTTATATATATGAGCACGAATCATGAGTTAAGAAGCGTTTTAAGAGTGGTTTTATAGTGCCTAAAATGCCTATTTTTTTGGCGTTTAAACCTAAATTACCGTT